ACGGAGTCGAACTAAATTTTAAATAATATTTGTTTCTATCTAGACTAAATTTTAAAGAGATCCTTTTTTAAAGGGGACACCATCAATTTGAAATCCAGTGACCCCCTCCTCTTAGAACAAGTTCCCTTCCATTTTGTACCAATATTTATTCATGAAAGCATTTACAATATTTAAATGCAAATACTTATTTATTACAAATTCAAGTAATTGCACAGGCACGGTATCGGACGCTGGGAAGAAAAAAATATGACTTGATAGAAAAATTAAACCTGTGTTCATCTTTTAAAAAGTCAAAAAACCGAAAAAAAATTGTAATTATACCCCCTTTAAAACATACTTTAAGTAAAGAGAAGGGCCCAGAAACTCCAATTCGAGACTGCAAGCCAAGGATTCACCTTCCTGGGCCGTTTGTGAAAACAATTGTCCAGACAAAATTAAAAAAATCTTTTATCAACTTTCACGTTTGTATAAGCTTTCAAATGGGACCGCGACCCCAAGTCTTTAGCCCTTTCCCGTTCATGAAATATCTATCGGGGAAACAAACGCATTCGTGCCTAAAAAATCCTTGGTAGACAAAATTGCGGCACAAACAATTCGGTACGTAAACATAAGAAGCTAGTACACTTGTTGCCAAGCCGATTACGGGTCATAATCATATTGTCCACTTGGCGAATAAACTCACTTAATGTCTATGTATTTTATAATTACTTATTTAATGTAATTTTTCATTTTTAATTGTAAATAGGCCCCATCAAAAAGGCTGTATGAATCGGATATAGTGGCACTGATGAGAATGAGACAGACACAGAGAGTAGGCCACCCAAGTTTATTGACCAAGCAACAACCGCCCAAAGAGTCACAAACGCCTACTTTTTTTTTTCATCTCCGCCTCGCTTACTCTGCAACAGGCATTGCGAGAGGCCAGCAGTGTTGGGGAAAAGTCAATTTGCTTTCTCAATACAAGGTGCTTCTGTACCCCCTTTTCCCGGGTGGGGGAAAGATTATTTGGGGCCTGGTTTAAAGTAAATAAACTTCGGACCCTTTTAAATATTTTTTTATTATTACAGAAACCTTCCCTTATTAAAATGTTATTTTTCTCAAAAAAAGTCAATAAATGTTTTTAAAAGGGGGGATTTGATTTGAACAGAAAAAAATGGAAATTTTTCCCCTTGTGCCCCCCCAGAAAAAAAAATATTCAAAAGAAAAATTGTTGGGATATTTGTTGGTTTTACCCCATAAATGTGAATTTGTGCGCATTTTCCCTTTCCCTGACCCCAACTTTTATCCAAAATTAAACCCCCGGGAAAGAATGTTTTTTTTTTAAACCAAAAAAGGGACTTTCCCTTTTGGTCAAAAAAAATTGTTAATTTTTAATTATGAATTTTTTCCCTTTTTTTTTCCCAATTTTCCCCCCCAAAATTTTGGCCTTGCAAAAACTAAACATCCTTTTTGAGATTTTAGGTTAATTACTTTTAAACCCAAGGGAAAAATTTAAAATACTGGATTTTTTTAAATTTGGGGCCGGGTCTTTAAACAAAACCCAACCCTAAGGGGTTTGCGAAAAGCATGGTTTTCCAGACCACCCTGCGCAGTCTGATCGGGATCCATGCTTTTTCGCTACCCATTTTCCCTCAAAATTGTTAAGGGTTTGTAAGCGAACACAGGGAAAACCTGTTTCAGACTCCCTTTTGGTTTTCCCCGAGGTGGTCGGGACCAGGGCTGATGGGGCAAAGCATTATTTTTGGTTTTGTCTTTAAACTTTTGGCTCTTTTTTGTTTTTTAACATAGCTTAAAAAGTATATGGCCTAGAAATTATAAAATCCCTTTTTTTCAGCTGCCTGTTTAACACAGATTCTTCCGAGTCTTGGAGAGACATTGCGAGAGAAGAATCGTGAAATTTTAAAAGAGGATGGTGGCAGCGAATTTTGCTGTTAAGGTCAGCAGGTAAGATGACCAACCGCTGCAATTCCGAAAAAGATTCTTCTTAATTTTTCCCTAATTCGTTATCCTGAGCAGTTGGAAGCATTCGAATAGCTTTCTGGGAGATCAGAGACAATGCTCTTATCTGTGGTAAGTCATTGTATTTGCTCCATTAGTACCTGAAAAAAGTAATACCCCATATCCACTGCCTAAAAAGCGAAATAACATAATGGTCCTGTGGTGAGCACTTGATGATAATGTATAATCATTCTGCTTATTTTATGTTGGAAAATATTGCACAGTGGACAAACACCGTTTGCTGCTTTAAAATTTTCAGAATTAAAAAACTGGCATGTTTTAATTTTTTTTGAATTCATATTGACACCAGTTAATGGTTATTTATATTTGCTATAATAGCCATGAGCACAAGACAATGGGCAGTTGGCCTCGTTTTCAACATTAAAATTATTAATTAAGGACAAGACAGTCCATTCGATTATCAAAATGCTGGCAGCTTTCAAAATAACCAGGAAAATGACTAGTACCCACAAAATCCAGGGAATTGAGCTGTTATTATATTAATCAAAAATTATTCTGTTGAAATATTGAATAAACTCTTGCTATAAAAAAAAACAATGATAATGTGCCCCATAACACTTCGGTGAAGGGGGACAAACATAAAGGCACAAGTCACTAACGGTGTTTGTCCTGGCTGCAAATATATGAGGAAAGATCTTTTAATTTGTCCAATCCAAACAGTTTTTCTTGGCAGATCATGTTTTTGAGGTCCAGTTGACAATTATTTGTCAATTTGGTGACTTGCAGCCCATCACTTAGTAGTGTTAAAATTAACATTAAAAAAAGTTTATGTTCTGCTTTATTTAAGGTGCGGTTCCTCCTCTCAATTGTTTGGTATGGCAGATGTACGGGAAACTGTTGACCGCTTGATGAAGAGAACCATGTCAAATGAACTAAGCAAGAATGTACAATATGAAGTGGCTGAAGGGGAAGAAAAAAGTTTGTGGGCCTCTAGATACTGAATGTATTGTATAGTAAGTGATTTTTTACAAATTTGCAAAGTGGTGTCTTCAAAATAGATATATTATCCAAGATCTTGTTATTGTGTCTTCGGGTATTGCTTTAATGAAGGAAAATGCTTGACTAGCTTTTATAGAAATTAAAAGTCTTAAAGAGAGAATATTTTACATGCTGTGTGGTTTTGATCCCATGCATTGTGTTTTTGAAAGCAAAAATTAAAAAAAAATCACCCTTTCCTTGTAAGCAAATTTTTTGGGTAAACCCTTAAAATTCTTTACTTTACCCGATTAAAATGAATTTAGCTTTCAAACCCGACTGCAGCGGAAAAAACCAGAAATTTTTAAAAAGCTATGTAAAAACCCGGAAACAAAAATTATATTTGGGTAAAACAACCAGAAAATTTGTTTTTTTTCCAAAAAATTTAATGCTCAAAAAATGCTACAAGGGGCTTTAAAGACCTTTTAATGGTTTCAAAAACCTTTTATTTCACTTCATTTCATTCTTTAAGGGTAAAAACTTGTTTTTTGTAGAATGGTCCAAAGGAAAATTGCCCACAAAGGCTTTCAACGAGGAAGGATGTTGGGAAAAAAGGGAAAAAAGGGTTTCAAAAGTGGCTGGGTAAAGGGCGCGGGGCGCATGGGGGAAAAAAAGCAAAGGGGAAAAAAAAAGTGTCAGAGACCTTTCCCGAAGAAAATGAAAGGGAATTTTAAATGAAATGTTTTTTTTAAAATGCAAATTTTTTAGAGGTATTTTTGGGTTTTTGGGGTGAAGATGAAAATTTTTTATATCCCAAAAAGGCTTTAAAAACGTTTCTCAATGAAATGGCTTGCGCTCGTAGGAAATTTTTTTTAAAGGTTTCCTTTTTAATGGTATTTAAAATTACTCTTAACAAACAACAATAAAGTGTTTTTTTTTTATTTTAAAAGCAAAGGAAATTTTTCCTCAATATTAAGGTTTTAAAAATTTAAAAATGTTTTTTCCCCTTTTAAAATCAATTTAAGTTTGAAATTTAAAGTCCAATTTCTTATAAATACAGGGGAAGTCTTGGGCTGAAAATAATCTTGACAATTTCAACGTTGAATAGCCATGATATTATTTATTGAATTCAAAAAATTTGAATGATGATAAAATCTTTAAAAGTAGTCTCGTCATAGAAAAGTTTGAAATTTTAATCATTTCACTGTGAAATTATCAAATATATTTTTCACGGATACATCAGTAATACACTCAAAAGCATTTAAAAATAAATGACTTTTATTTTAAATTTTCAAACCTTTACTTCATTGGCATATAAGTTATTCCACTGATTGAAAGTCAATATGTATCAAGGTATTTTTAAAATGTGATAAGGGTCAGAACTACAGTAAGCGGCTCATTTGTTTATCTTGTTATACTTTTTGTTGCAAATTTTAATGTTTGAGGTCATCAGCATAGCATGTCTTTCTTGTAAATGCAAAATTCTTGTCTATGTCAAATTTTTCCTTCTAGTCAGTATATTCTGCTGCTATGTGTTATGTTTGTTGTTTGACATTATATCGGTTTTTCTGTTTTCTATATGCTGTTTTTTTTTTTCATTAAACATTGTTACTGCACGGAGGAAGGAAGTCTAGTAACTGGTGTAACTCTCCAGAAACGATGGTTAGGAAACTACCCCGCCTATCAATCTCCACGCAGTGATCTCCCCTTAATTCTTCGGCATAGATCTCTGCCACCAAGGGTCCCAATATATCAGAATTTCTGATATACTATCTTTTTTCAAAAAATTGTTTTATCTACTGCTTTTATCTATCAGATAAGTTTTCTCTCATTTATTTAACAATGTTTATGAATAAATAATATGAATATTTAGAAATAATTTAAAAATTATAAGATTATTTTCTACCGAGACGATATTTTGATATTTTTATATTTGTTTAGCTTTTTTGAATTTATTTTTCGTTATTTGTATACTTTCGATAATTTTTTTGATAAACTATATCGAACGTCGGCCTATATGACGTAAAAGGCGTAAAATGAAACAAACAAACAAAAAACATATTGTTACTATTTAAATCAAGACATTAAATGCTTGGGGAATGTTTTTGATACTGATCAATACAATTATAACATCTTGTCAAAACTTGACACTAACAGGGAACACATGTAATGATATGGTATTAACCTTTAAAATAAAGTTGAAATACTTTACAATGATGATTCTTGTAATCTTTATTGTTGTTATTGTTGAAACTTTGATAATATCGGAGAAATTACTGAAACCAACTATTTTTACTGACAATTTTTTTAATGAATTTCTTCACAACAAATTTGATCTTTGTGTAATATCACATTTTAATTATTATTGATTTTTACAAACTTGTACAAATTATTTTTTACTTTTCATCAGCTGCATATTTTGTTTACATGTCTATAAACAGTATTTCAATGTGCCAAGATTTTGTGTATTATATTTGTTACTTTTCATTAGCTGCATATTTTGTTTACACGTCTATTAACAGTATTACAACCATGCCAACCTTTTGTGTATCATATTTGTTACTTTAGCTGCATATTTTGTTAACACGTCTATATAAACAGTATTACAACCGTGCCAACCTTTTTTGTATTACTTTTTGTTACTTTTCATTAGCTGCATATTTTGTTGACAATTACAACAGTGCAAACCTTTTGTGTATTATATTTGTTACTTTTCATTAGCTGCATATTTTGTCCACACGTCTATAAACAGTATTACAACCGTGCCAAGGTTTTGTTAATTATATTAAATTTTTCATCAGCTGCATAATATTTTGTTTACACATCTATGAACAGTATTACAACCATGCCAAGGTTTTGTTAATTATATTAATTTCTTTTCATCAGCTGCATAATATTTTGTTTACACATCTATGAACAGTATTACAACTGTGCCAAGGTTTTGTTTTATTATATTTGTTACTTTTCACGAGCTGCATAACATTTTTTTCTTCAGCACTACCATACCAAAGTGTAATACATGGTTGTAATGAACAACTTTTTATATTAATTGATGTAGATGTATATCATTTGAAAATGAAAGTAATTGGTAGATAGAAATTTGTAATGAATTACAGTAAATGTATAATACTTTTTCTATGAATTATGTAGAAAGTTAAAAAGACATTTGGGGTCATACTGTTGATTCACTGAAATTTAAACATTATACACATATATTTCTTGGATTCCAAAGACATTCTGTAAAGTTTTACCAGTGTCTAGCATAAGTTTCATTTTTCCTTATAGTGATCTGTAAGGTATCTAATGTTATAAAACTGCATTTTTAATTATTTTGTTCGTACATTATAAACAGTTTTCCATTACATGTTGCTTATTTTATAGTGTACCAAAGTAATATTTACTACATAGGACTTTTTGAATAATAATTAATATTTCTGTATTTTTGAATTAAAAACTATGTAGTCAAAATGAAATTCTGTGGATTTACAAATATGTACAGTTTACTCGGATTTTTATATTGTACACTTTTCTAAGTTTATTTACATAAGTAAAGGTTTCTTTGTTGACATCAGGCGTCCACAGAATGTATTGAGAATCTGTATATATATATATGATATACACTTACCATAAGTGAGATTACTAAATAAAGTTACATTGTTAAAGCATATACATTGTGTATTGTTTTCTTGCATGATCATATAGGCTTTGTGCCATAATCTGTCTGTTCCAGGAAACAGAATGAGTTAAAACATCACTTGAATATTTAACGCAAGTACAATAATCATGCTCTGTAGCAAGCAGTTGCTATCTTAACGTCCAGCAAACTTATAATTGAAGTAATTGAAAATAGATCTACCCCGGAATTCAAAATCTACCCATAATGGAAGTATCTGGGCTGCCCATTTGAAACCCATATTTAGTACAAGGGCTGCCCATATGGGACCCATGTGGGGCCCATATTGTGTACATGGGCTGCCCAGATGGGGCCCATGTGAATCCCATATTGAGTATAAGGGCTGCCCAGATGGGACCCATTTGGAACCCGGTTGCACTTCCTATATGGGGCCCATATGGGCAGCCCAAATGGGACCCATATAGGTGCCCATATGGGCCCCACATGGGTCCCATATAGAATGCTATCTGGGACAGTACTTTGAGCTTCCAATAAAATTATAATAAATCAAATGCAGAAACGTATATATTTTAGTTCAATCAATTTCTGTTTTTGAACTGCTGTATATATGTTATTGTATAATATTTATTGGTATGAAGCAAAAATAGCTGTGTGCCTTTAATAGAAAGGTTGAATATATATTTGATAGTCATTTCATTATTATATGCTATTACGTTTTTTGTATAAATTTGCCATTTTCAGTATTGGTCAGTGTTCAGAGGTGGAAAATTTTAAAAATATGGAAATTTTGTCCCAGATAAAAAGTTCTATAATCCATTTGTAAAGCATTATAAAGATTTTTTGGAAAATCTTGAAATTAACGTTCATTCTTAAAAATTTCCAAAAACCTTTGGAAAATTGACAAAAACGAGTGATAATTAATATCAATGCAAAATAATCTAACGAAATATTTTAATTTCAAATAAGAAGAGCAATAAAAACTGTAAATAATGGTCATGCTTAGGCCTAAACATTTTTTTGTGATCTTGAAACATTGGATTTGGTATAAGATACATGTACACAATCACAGGGACCCAGCACAGTGTTAGGATAATGTAATTTAAGTAATTCAGTGTAAAACAAGTAATTCTGGAAAAACCTACAGTATATATTTTTTTACACTGTATTATATATACAGTATATATTTTTTTCTAGAATTACTTTTTTACACGATCCCAACACTGTGCTGGGTCCCTGTGTGTACACAATCATCATGATATAGCAGACGGTTTATTCTTTTTCCGGGTTTTCCGCGGTTTCCGTGGGACTTTCCGCGGAATACACCTGCCGTTTTAAAATATGGGAACCAAATTACGCGGGATTCTCATTGATTCGTTGTTGATGTTCGGAACCATCTAATGGAGGGTAACATGTTCGGACATGCATGGTGGACGTAATAATTGATAAACACCGCAAGATATATACGTTCCTTTGTTTTGAAATTCATCATCAGGTAAGCAAAGTCGTATTAAATGATAAGGCTTATGGAGGGAGCGATGTCATTATAACATAAATTTTCATTTGTTACAAATAATGTTTTCTGTACATAAAATTTTCGACCCCAATTTGATACTCTACTGTCTGATTTAATCTGTTAATCCCTAATGATCTTGTTAGTTTGCGGTATTTCACGATCTAAAACAAGAGCAGTATTTTCAAGAAAAAGCATGTTCAATCAATGACACTTTATGACATATTATGAACTAAATTATGAACAAAAGTTGCTTGTATATATAAGTTTATTCGGTAGCAAGACACCTCACCCCCCAGACACTTCACCCCTCAAATTTTGAAGACACTTCACCCCTTAAGACACTTCACCCCCCAAAATCAGTAAGACACTTCACCCCTCATCCAATTTTTTTTTCTATAAATTAAATAAAACAAGTTCGATAACAACAAAATGCTTACATATGTTTATATTAATTATTTTTAGTAGATTCTATTATTAAGTTTTTATTGCATGTCACCTTGTTTATTCAAGATGTTGATTGGTTGTTTATTCAACTGTTATCTCATATTGATTAGATAATTAAATTAAAATGGTATAATTGTATGAAAATTAAATTTATTTATAATAAATAAATAAAATGAATATAATAATAAATGAATGAATGAATGAATCGGTTGCCATACTTCATGTGTTTTCTTTATAAATGGCCATTTAGCAATTGATTTGCTGATGATGCTAATAAACTTGACACTTGAAGCTATTCTGCAGTTATGATTACTCAAAAATATGAGCTAATTAAACAAAATTATTCAGTAACATTAAAATAATATGAATTACTTAAACTATCAATACATGATAATTAATACAATAATCATAATTCATTACAGCTAACAGCCTGAACTAACAGCTTTGTATTCCTGTTTTGCTTTCAATCCATTAAACAAGATACTGTCAATTAAAGACACAAAGTAAGTGTGAAAGAGATTATATACTCTTATTGTATATATCAAAGGAAAAATCACACAAAAGTTCACACACTTCACTAGAAAGATTATTCTTTTAATATTCAATAAGTTATATCACTTTTACTTAAATTGAAATTAGTATGAAATATATAAAAATTAAAAAAAAACTTTATACTTTGTGATATGAGCCTTTTTTGTAGGGCAAAAACAACAATATATCCGTTGTCTTTTGTCAGTTACATGAAAAAATTATAATAAAATATGTTAAAACAATAAACATACTCAATCACTATTGAATGTATTTTACATAATCTACATCACAAAATAAAAAAAATGAGGGGTGAAGTGTCTCAATCAAATTTCTTAAAATGAGGGGTGAACTGTCTAAGTGGTGAAGTGTCTGCAAAAAAGTGCCGAGGGTGAAGTGTCTGGGGGGTGAATTGTCTGTTAGCCGTTTATTCTATAACAAAAAAAGTGAAAAAAGTTATTTAACAATTTATATTCATCACTGTGACGTTTTATTTTTTATAATCCAGCTTTCTATCTATACATTCAACTGGTCAAAGCCCATGTTTTCGCTCAGAGGCCCTGCACGGATGCTCCTGGAACAACTTTCCTCTCTCCAGGAGCTTGCTTTCATTGTCACAGGGGAGAGGGATGTGTTCCTTCTCCTTTAAATTAGTTCAAAGCCAAGGCTTCATTGTGCCTTACAACTCTTATATTCTTGTTCACTGTTTTGCAGGGAGTGTCGAAACGGTAATAATGTGGAACCAGAAGTTCCCATATTGTTACTTTGGCTTAACTGCATTAGTAAGGAACTTAAGAACTGGGCAGGGGGAAGCAGTCCAAAGGATCCCTTGGTATCGCATTCTGTTGGAGACTGATTCGCTAATTATAACTCTACCCTGCATAATTTTTGAGTTATTGCCCTTTGTTTTTTTTCAAAATTAATTTTTTGTCCAGAGCATAACGCAAAAAGCCTTTGAGATATCAACATGAAACTTCATAGGTGCATAGATCTCACTCAGGAGTTGTGCAGTGCACAAGAATGATAATTCTACCTTTCATAATTTTTGAGTTCATGCCCTTTATTTTTCATACCTAATTTTTCACCTGAGTGAAGCGTAACTCAAAAAGTGTTTGAGATATCAACATGAAATGTCATAGGGTTGATAGATCTTATTGAGGAGGAATGCTGTGCGCAAGAATGATAACTCATCCCTATATAATTTTTGAGTTATTGCCCTTTGTTCTTTTTCATAATATTTTGTCCGGAGCTTATCACAAAAAGTATTTGAGGTATCAACTTAAAACTTCATAGGTGGATGGATCTCATGGGAGGAGGAGTGCAGTGCACAAGAATGATAACTCTACCCTGCATGATTTTTGAGCTATTGCCCTTTGTTATTTTTCAAAATTAATTTTTGTCCAGAGCATAACTCAAAAGGCCTTTGAGATATCAACATGAAACTTCATAGGTTCATAGATCTCACTCAGGAGGAGTGTAGTGCACAAGAATGATAACTTAACCTTTTATAATTTTTGAGTTATTGCCCTTTGTTATTTTTCATACTTAATTTTTCACCTGAGTGGAGCATAACTCAAAAGTGTTTGAGATGTGAACATGAAATGTCATACGTGGATAGATCTTATTGAGGAGGAATGATGTGCGCAAGAATGATAACTCTTCCCTATATAATTTTTGAGTTATTGCCCTTTGTTCTTTTTCATAATAATTTGTCCGGAGCTTATCTCAAAAAGTATTTGAGGTATCAACTTAAAACTTCATAGGTGGATGGATCTCATTGAGGAGGAATGCTGTGCACAAGAATGATAACTCTTCCCTATATAATTTTTGAGTTATTGCCCTTTGTTCTTTTTCATACTACTTTGTCCGGAGCTTATCTCAAAAAGTATTTGAGGTATCAACTTGAAACTTCAAAGTTGGATAGATTTTAATGAGGAGGGGTGCAGCACACAAGAATGATAACCTACCTTGCATTATTTTTCAGTAATTGCCCTTTGTTATTTTCAGCCATCAGTATTCACATAGATTTCAAATCTGTAATCACTTCAGCCATTAGTTTTCATTACCAAATGACCTCTTAAAATGGAATTATTCTGCTCTACTACATATACATTCTTCCAATGAGCAAACACATTCGGTGGGGGATGGCCATGTTGACATGGCTCTTGTTACTATTGAAAATAGAACAAATAAAATCGGGACCGGACATTTTGTTGAGATAAATTAGAAGGGTTCGGATTAGGAAGGCTCCACTGTACCATTAAAAACATTTGAAAATCAATGGGATAATAATTAGGGATGGCAACAAATACAAAAATCAATACTCGAGTACTCGGTCATTTTTCCAATCGAGTACTCGGTTACTAGGATGATTTCCTGTGATCTTTAAGGTTTACACATGCTTCTTTCGATTTCCAGTTAAACTCATAGAATTTGTAATTATAAATAGGGCTGCACGGGAGACAAATTAATTAAAATTAATTCAACAACATTATATTTTACAAAGTTTTAATTAATACAATATGAAGTTTAAAACATGTATAACGTTCATATATCTTCTCGTCTTGAAATGATATAAACTGATCGGCGGTAACAGAAGTTTAAAAGGGGTCTAAATACTAGTTACCTTTATTCTTACATTCATAATAGCAATTGGCCCTTTGTTGTTTTCAAAACAGTTACTTCCGCTACACAATTAAAGGTAATTGAATATCATAAGAGATGGATGACATAAGCGACACAGGTGCGGGTGTCAAACTGTTGATTGCCTCGTTAAATTAATGATATCATTTTCGCAATTCTGCAAGGATGTTTTGATTGCATTGAACAGGTATTTATGAAGATAAATGCACATCTCCGAATTTCTGAACTAATTGGACACAACAATCTTTCTAAATCGTTAAACATATTAATTATATTTTTTTTTCCCGAGTAATCGAATATCAATTTCGTTAACCGATATTCGGACGTTCCATCGAGTACTCGATTAACCGGTTACTTGTTGCCGTCCCTAATTATAATTCTTAATATTATCCC